ACAACAGCTGCTAGCGCTTACAGCCTCACCCTGAAAAAGGAAGAGGACATGCTACAGCAAATTCAGATCAAAGCAAAATATCTAGTGGTATGAGCCGGTAGTACATGTCTGCAAATACTTTCTAGAATTCAATTGTGGTTTAAAGCTCAAAAAGCTTTGAAGATCACTAAATCAAGCCTTAGAATAGATCTAATTGTCTCAGGAAGATATCATTTAGACAGAGCTGCATTTATGGCACTGGACCAAAATGAGAGACCTTTCAGCTTTGACCTCATGAATAGCCACAGCGCACACCTGCTTTTATTGAGAGGACACAAATGCACTGGTGGAACAGCTGATAGCTCATTGTGCCAAGCAAACAAAGAGCAAATTCAACTTTGTGACCCAATAAAGTTAAAGAAACCAGTTTAAATGGCGACCCAGCAGCCAAAAAAGAAAAAAACATGACCAACAGGTCTTTAACCAACAAGTTGCTTAAAGCAATAGTTCACCAAAAATGAAATGTTGCTTAAAATTTACTCACCCTCAGGCCATCCTAGATGTATTTGAGTTTGTTTCTTCATCGTAAGAAATTGTGATGTTTTTATCAGCTGTCTGAACTCTCGTTCTGACGGCACCCATTCAGTGCAGAGGATCCATTGGTGAACAAGTGATGTAATGCTAAATTTCTCCAAATCTGTTCCAATGAAGAAACAAACTCATCTACATCTTGGACTGCCTGATGGTGAGTAAACACTTATCAAATGTTCAATTTTGAGTGAACTATTTCTTTAAGGTTATGATTCTTTTCTAGGGATGATCTGTATAATAAACAAATTGGGTTCTAAATTAAATGTATCAAACAAAATAATAACTTACATACCTGCTACAAATACTACACTCCTGATCTCATCTGCCCTAGATCTCGGACATTATGCATGCTATAATACACACCCTGTAACCCCCACCCCCCCCCAACTATTGTGTGGTAATGTAAAGATGCCAAGCATTAAGAAGAAACATATGTTCTCATTCCTGTCACTGAATGTTAGCAGTACCCTCTGTTCTTGCAGGATTACTGTAAATAGATTACAACACTGTGCTGTAAAACACAGATGTGTCGCAGTCAGTTCCTATTCATCAGTGTGGTCCCCACCATTTTAGCTGGCATGCTATCACATCTCCAAAACATGCATCTATTTAAAGCAAATCTGCAAGACTAGTGATAAGACATTGTTTGGCGATTTTGAGTTCATTGGTCGATAAGTGCTTGTCTAATTATCAAACAAAGAGAGTTCATTTTGACCCATATCTAGCCTAGACCCTAGATCACAATAAAATGAATTGCCTCGAACACCACAATGTTCGATAAGTTTGCTAGACTGTTCCAAACAATAAAGTCCCAGTCTGTGTTGCATATGTAGCCTACATAGGTTTCAAATTTTATGAGGCAAAAAGCCACAGGCAGCACAGCAGGCAAACCTACTAAATGAACTTTCAATCTTTGGTATATATTTTTATGTGGAGGTGTGAGATATGCCTCATTGCATATACTGTAGGTCATTGCTGGGTTAATTTGTCTAGCTAAACACATTAACCATGAAAAATAGCAACATAATTGCTGAATGTTGTGGGAGAGGAAGTATATTCTCTGTGCATTCCAAGTATCTCAACATTTTTTGTTTACTTTTGGGTGATAAACAATTTTGTGTTGGGTCACTGCTTGATGTTATAAAATTTGGTCCTGAAGGAAAACCATTTAAGAACCACTGATGTTGAGAGTTTTTCCTCTCATAAAATTTTCGATCCTTAATTTGTATTAAAAAGAAACTGAATTCAAACAAATTGCTAATATCTACCATGCAACCCATGAACTATTAATTTATTATTAATATTGTGAGAACATCACATGGAGTATGGACTATGAACATTTACATATCCAAAACACATGCAATGGCTAAAGATAGACATGTTTGGAGTGCTTTCATTAAAATTTTAAGAGTGGAAAAAAAGAAATGAGAGCTATTAGTCTCCTTGACAACTTTGTAAATCCTCTGCATCAACTGTTACCATATCACAATGCCTCCAGTTTAATGACAAATCCAGACTCTTTGTACTGATGAGGTACATGAGAAGTGCACCAACACATTCTCTCTCACTCACTGACCCTCTCTCTCTCACACACACGTACACACACACTTTAGCCATCTCTTGATCCCAAGGGCTCCCATTCTCACAAAGTGGGTTAAATACAGCCCATTTAGCTCACAGGATAATGCCGTCTCCACTGTCCCCCTGGAAAAGGAGAGGTGGGTTAAAGAAAATTCCAATTCACATCTCTGCATCAACACTTCTCAGCAAGAGAAATGGGCCCCCACTAGAGTCTGAGTGGGGAAAAAGACTCAGCTATAAGTGGATCTGTTTATTGACTGGAAAATCTGTGGATTTCTGAAACCACAGGAGTTGCTGAACCAGGACAGAATCAAGAATGTCCCTCTGCACTTTTAGTTTCTTCTAAAAGAATGGTAATGCAAAAGGGAAAATGTAGTTACAGTCCACACAAAAAAAAGTGGATGTTGATTTTTACTGCCAAGCTCCAGAAAAGAAAAACAAGCACCATTAAAAGCATGCAAATCTGAAAATAATGACAAAATAATTAATGGTAACACTTTATTTTAAGGTGTCCTTGTTACTTACTATATAATAACAATTAATTATGCATAATTACATGCAAGTAACCCTATACGCCAAACCCTAATCCTAACCTAACCATATAGTAAGTACATATAGTTAATTAATATTACTCAGCACTTAAATGTATAATTACACTGTAACAAGGACACCTTAAAATAAAGTGTAACCTAATTAACTTCTGGTTGAACTCTTCTTTTAAAAAGGCACTGCCATTCACGTACAAGAATGCTGGTCACGCTTCACACATGGATCACGCCCTTTCATCAAACATACCATAGGTCATATGTGTAAAAAGTAAATGAAAACTCATGGACTTTTAAGTTATCTGTGTCATGAAAATGGCATTCCATTGATTTTAAAATATGATTAACACATATGTTAGTGCATGTGGGTGTTCAAAGGACTCAGTAAAACATTTTTAGGCAGTTAACATAAATCTAGCATCAGAACTTGCATTTAAAGTCATCATGTCATATCATGTTTAATCCACCCTTTTTAACCTCATCAACAAATTTTCAACAATAAATTATTCCATAATGGAAATGCAACACAAAGTTAGTGCTATTTTCTGAAGCTAATGTGGAGGGGATGTAAATGCTATGAGATCATCAATCCAACAAGAAACCGATGAGATATTAACTGATGACAAGTTATGAAGAATCAGCAATCAAAGAGGTGTCAGAATTACCAAAGTCCAAATAAATAATAAAAACACAAAAAATACAAACTAACGTTCCTTTACCTCTTGCCAAATTAAAATAAGTTACTCAGTATTAACTTTTATGTTTATAGAACTATTGTATAAAACCATTTTCAAATATGATATCGGGTTTGTAACTTTAAAAGTTGGTCTAACTAAAGCACTGCACAGAGAACAGGTCATGGAGGTTATTTGGTCACCAGGTTTCAGAGCTTTGTTTTGGGTAAAAGCGTATTGTTTCATGCAACCACAGAGCTCTCAACAGGACTTTCCTGCCTCCTATTGCTTAGGCATCCATATACAGCAGGTGGGAACCCTTGTTTGCTGTGATTTTTAATGCATAATTTCACTCAGCGATTAAATATCCCAGTTGGGTGTCCTTTTACAGCTGTTCTCCTCCGGCATGCTGTGCAGCCTCAGGCCACGATCAGTCAAAGAGCAACATAACGAAAAGTCCACTATGAGGCAAGAAAGCAGTTTGGACTCAGGCAGTCCTAACACAATATCAGTCTCTTAAACAAAATTAAACTGATCTGTGGTAATTTAAACTACAGAGTGGCTCTTTCTCAACTATAAAGCTATAAAACGATCAAACTGACATTGACATGGAGTCACACAGTGAACAGTTGAGCTCTTTGTTACCAAAATCATAAATCCCATAAATCCAACCAGGGAAACGGTCCTTCAAGGTATCTATTAATTGAGATGAAACACTCAAGTATTTTAGTGCCTCAATCAAAAATGCAGATGGCACACCCACAAACCTTGATGCAAGTCTGTCTATTATCCTTCTTTAATGTAACGACAGCAACAGTGATCCCTGTCAATCAAATATTTATAAAGAGGTTCTCAGTTTCTTAGTTCTCTCGGTTACAGGCCTGCCACACATGACAGCTGTACAGACCTTTTCTTAATTAAATGGTCTGCAACTTAAGTCATGACAGAATGATACACATCGGAAGACACTCCATCACTTCCAAAACTACTGTATGGCCTAAGCAGATCCCACAAACCACTGCAGAAACTTCAAACAGGTCAGGCTAATGCTCACAAAATCACCGAGAAAGACACCGGATGGAAGAAAGCAATCTGTAAGCAAATTTTGGCCTAAGGTCTTTGTCTAATAATATAGCAAAGAGGAAGATTAAACAGACCTAATTTACACAAAAAACATTCTGAACCTGTCAAAATATTTTGATAACATGTACGCCAGGAAATCAAAATTAGATAGATAGATAGATAGATGTTATGTTGAATTTGCAAAAAAAAAAAAGATTTATTGTGATTTTTAAAGTATTTTAATGAAACAATATTTTAAGTAGCATTTAATTTAATAAAATATATATTTAAAATATTATTTATTTGGGGTGGGTGGGGGAATTGCAATTTCTGGCCCGAGTGTGCAAGCAGAAAAACAATTCCTTATTGTTGCAAAAGATGATTGATAGATAGATAGACTCAAAAGCGTCATTAATACCCAACAGGTAAACTAGAGTGAACTTAAAAAAAGACAAAATGGGCCTTCACGCGATATGCTGTACATTCTGCTGTATTTGATCAGTTACTGTAGCAGATAATAAAGTTTGTATCTCTCGACTTTCCAAAAAGTGCCAGTGGTCCAGCTCACCTCTCCTCTGCGATACAGCCGGTGACAGAGCGACGAACAAGCAGCAGAGGAACCGCTCTAGAAACGCGACCCACCTGCAACCATGAACCACAATTGTTTTTTGTTTTGTTTTTTCCTTCCTAATCATTTACTCTCCAAAAAGCTTTTTCTCTAAAGAGCATTTCTCACGTATACCTTCTTGCCATTTCAGTTTGTAAAACTGATCCGTTCCGATAGCTACATGGGATCCTGGTTGGAAGGTGGATGAAAGTTTCCCGCTTTAGAGTGAGAAGAGTCCTCGCGCCGGTGCCACGACTGATGAGAGTGATCCGGGAGCCTCACTGATGAAAAAGACGGAGCGGGAGGACACGAGAAATCTTCTGGGTCCTAAAGCCTTTCTGAGCTGACTGGACAACCCACCTACCTGCATTCTCGCAGCCCCTGTGACGCCACACGCCCATGTCAAGTACGGAAGCCCTAAGAGATCATGCATTTTTATTTTTTCTTGTTCAGCATTTATTAATATTAGTCAATGTTAATTTAAAAGTTTACATTATTGAAAGATGGATTTGTTAACATTAGTTAATGCAGGGTGAACTAACAATGTTTTCACTAACAGATTAATAAATGCTTTAAAATAGCCTATATATTGCTCATTGTTAGTTAATATTAGCTATGCATTTACTTATGTTAACAAATTGGACCTTATTGTAAAGTGTTACTAACCTAGTTCCCCCAAGAATTTTGTTTGCATTATTTGCATTATGTTCCTGTTTTCTCGTGACCTCAACATAGCAAAAGTTGTTTTCTTAAGAACTTGACTCTTTATCTTATTATTATTATTTTAATCTTAATAACAGTTTTCTTGAGATCTCATAATGCTGTAGTTTTTTCCTGATCTAGAAGTACAAAATTTCTAAGTGGAATATGGATGACCGAATTGATTAGAAGAATGTTTTTTCTTCTTGTCATGATCACGAGAAAACAAGACAGAAAAAGAGATTAGAAGAAAAAAAAAACAGATTCTTCAAAAATTGTTCATGTTTTTTACCATCAGAATAGGTAAGTAAATAATGTACAAAATTCAAATTCTTGGGTGAACTAGATAAGTAACACTTTATAATAAAGTCCCATTGGTAACATTAATAAATGCATTAGCTTCTATGAACTAACAATGAGCAATATATATTTTAAATCATCTTTAAAAATGTTAGTTAATAAAAATTATATCTTTATTGTTTGTTCATGTTAGTTCATGGTGCATTAAATAATGTTAACAAATACTGTACCATTTTTGAATACTTTTTGAAATTAAATTGTTACATATTTTGTGTAAACAGATTAACTATGTAATAAAAAAAACATTGTTAATCAAATGGCTTTATCTGCAAGACAGCGATCCCTGTGTGGGGGAGAAAAAAATTATGGATTTTTTTTGATGAAGCTAGATGAGTGTTGTTTTTGTAGTCTTTATTAGATAGCACTGCCAACCTGTTGGCAGACAGATGATTAACAGTAAATCACTGGCATCACTGTTATTAAAGGGGCTCTTTGGATTTGAGACTTTAGTCTTTGCAACTTTACAGATCTTCTTTATGCACCAAGAGCTTGTAACCAAGAGCTTGAAAAATTGAAATCGCATCATATGACCCCTTTAAATGTTAAGTGTGTAATATCTGTGCCACTGCGGCACCAAACAAAAATGCCAAAACAATTACTGCACTCTCATTCACTGAACAGATTGCGAATTGTGTTTGCTGACACTAGTGGTGCAAAAGTGAATCGGCATCACCAAACTGATTTGCAAAAGTAATGGCAACAATTTCAAACAGGTTCCCTAAACATTTCCCTGTCAACCATTGGTCAACCAAGTGGATAGTCCTGCTGCAAACTCACACCATTGGTTGAGTCAATGTCACTATCTCAGGTTGGTTGAAACAGAGCAATGTTTTGATAACCATCAAAACCTTACCTATAGTTGTCTCTGCGTGTTAAACTTGGATAGCATATTGTATTTTAACATGGAAAAAAATGACATCACGTTTAAACTACTTATTTGTACTGAGAAAGTTTTGAACTGCCATTAAGAAAAGGGGTCACCAAAAAAGAAACAAATCTGATCCTGCTCTGAATAGGAACAATTTCGAATGTGTACAGAGTTCCTTCTATGCTTCCAGCACTAATTTGTCTTCCAGATGAACTTGTCACCGGTGCTCTTGAGAGAAGCATGACCTAGAGTGCAGTTTTAACTTGGGGTTACGTGGTGTGCTTGTGCAATGCAAAGGATAAAGTGAAGTCCATTGTGAGCAGAGTGCTTCTCACACATAAAAGTTAATCACTTCTCAAATATGTCTGTCACTGTCTGGTATGCTGTCAGTTAGAATGGACTCATAAAATCAGAATCCAGATAAGACGCGTCCAATGAGCGTAAGACATGATAATTCTTTGGATTCTTACCGATTGACCACTTTGGGTAAACAAGCTTCTAGACACAGTATGAGATTAAACAAAGACCCTTTTAAGAGTGATCACAAAATATTTCCGGTTTCTTTCAAGTTGAACCCAGACCGTACATTCTTTACAACAAGTGCAAGGTAAAAGAATCTGTCGCCCAATCAGATTTATACACCAGTGTGAACTGGGTCAATAAGAGTGCAGCTTTTGTTTTCCCAGTCAGGTCAGCTTTCTTGAGAACAGCGGGTCACCCAGAGAGGAAGAGGAACAGACACACACGCACACCCACACTTACGGCTTCAGGAACACCAGCTGGCACATACATGCATACAGCAGTAACACCACCTCATCAGAGCATCTCCAGCATGTTCTCATTACGAGCACTCTGCACCATGCAACATATGCAACCTCTCACTGAGGAGGCCATGAGGAGGATCACCGAGGAGTCTGAAGCTAGTCAAGTTAAGTCACTGTCTCTGGAGCTAAAGATGTGATCTGCAGCATGTGTGCTGCTGTTAAAACACGTTTGCAGCCCTGATGAGCTTTGCATTCCTATAAAAGCAAAGAATGCATTAAGAACATGGCAGAGAAATATGAGTATATATAAAGGGAAAATGCTAAATATTCAGCGTTCTATCACCTTAATCATCTCTTTTTTCTTCACCAGAACCTAACTTTCTTTTCTTTCTTACCTTATATAAGACAGAGGCACATTAAACAATAATGATAAAGAGATTTAAGTTTAAATCTGGCTTATTATGATTATAAACTGAAAATGTATAAGTTATTTAGTCCCTCTGGTAGAATCAACAGACTCAACGAAGACAGACAAACTAGAAAAAAGTACTTTAAATAGTAAAAGAACAAAAACAAGTAATATGTTGTCTTTCTTTACATTCTGTGAATTCTGTGAATCTTATTGGCAAGCAAAAGCATGCAGCACTAATGCTGAATATTATGTTGTTTGCATTCCCATGCTACTGGATATAATTCTTTAATTTTGCAATGGGTTTTGCACTCTATGTTATTTTTTAACTGTAAGATGTGATGTTTGAAGATTTATTTACACAAAAAAGTACACCGTGAACCTTTTTAAAGGAATAGCAATAAATGCTGCACTATTACCGACCACAGAAAACTGCCAGTAAACTTAACTGTGTTTAAAATGGATGTCTTTGTAGATTTTCTAGTGATCAGCAGTGATAATTAATCAAATCATGATCAAGTTGAGTGCACCTATATATTTTGATATTAACAAAAACTTGGCTTAAATTGAAGTACTAAAATTAAAACTTAAATATTTAATAAAAACTAAATGGAAATGTAAAAAACTAATAAAAACAAAAATGCAACAACTTTTCTAAAACTTAAACTAACATTAAAATTGTGATACATAAACTAGCAATTTTGAAAAGAAAATCCAGAATTGTAAGATAAAATGTCGCAATTACCTTTATTTTTTATTCTGTAAAATAAAAAACAGAATTGTGAGATGCAAATTAAGAATTCTGAGGAAAAACAGTCAGAATTACGAGATGTAAACTCAGAATTGCAAGAAAGAAAGTTTATATCTCAAAATTCGAAAAAAGGCGGAATTGAAATGGGCTTCACGCAGTGTCTCGTTCCCCTCAGGGAACCATGGTTACATAAGTAACCCGAGACGATTTTTATGAATTGATTTCCTCTGTGGAACATGCTCTTTCATTTAATGGATTAAAGAGAATTAAAATAAAAGAAGCCCATATGACTACATTAGCCATAGATTTGTGTGGCAAACAGACCAAAATGTATGTCATCATTAACTGAAACCTATGACTTACACTGCGGCTCTCAAATCATATTATGTTGCCCTTAAGATGCTGGAAAAAGAGCAGCCTTCGAGTTCCACACTCTTAGTTTTATTCTTTTAATAAAGGCAAGACCATCTGGATCACACAGTGTGTATTCCATAAACTAAAAAGATGCTTACTATGTCAGGAACGTATTAGTAGACTAATTTTGATTTCAGGAAGGACTTTAGACCTAGAAAAAAAATATGAATATGAACCAGATTTTTGGCAACCAACATTAAGAGAGCAGATTTCCTTCACAGATGAAAGAATCAAGGTAAACAATGTTCAAAGAATGAAGGCCTGTGTTTGAAAAAGGTTGGTAATCTAATCAACAGAGCTAGTAACTTCAGAATTAAACAAACTAGATTAGCCTTTCGCCAGACACAACACATAACGATCCTAGAGCCAAGACAGCATTTTTTCACGATTATCAGTCATTTCGCAGTTCACTAGTTGAGAAGAAAAGCAGTTCTTTCCCAGCCTGGGCATTAATGACAAATGTAATGGGGGAAAAAAATAAATAAATACTTTGTGCTTACCATAGGTTTAGTTCTCAAAGTGACATAAGTGTCAAACACTCACAACCTCACCATGAATAGAAAAAAAGAACAAGTTCTAAACATCTTGGTTATACACCTGGAGTTAATAAAAGCATGTCTTAGGAAAATCAAGTTATGTTGTTTAATCCCCTTACATAAACATTCTCCAAATTCAATTATAAGCATGCTTTTTTACATTTAACCTTTATTCAACCTTTTTATTGTTGTCAAAATGTGAGCACTATAACTTTAAACTCAATAGAAAAAAATAAAAAATCAAACTACTTTTGTAGCAAAAATCAATCAAAACAAGAATCTTGTATCTAGAGATGAGATAAACAAAAATGTTCATGTTCAAACTATCTTGACTTAATTGAGCTGTAAGACACACAGGCCTACATGTGTTTCCAGCAAAACAATTTTTAATTCAAATAGGACATAAATGTGTTTTACTATTATGCTTCAAATAACAAACAGGGTCAAGATCATTTTACAGCTTGTTC